GAGTACCGGAAAAGACGCGTTAAAACCGGTGCCAACTCTGGAGCACACGTCCTCAGCACAATTGGGGGGATTCCATCAGGCCCACTCGACTTATGGATGTCCAGGGAGAGGAGTGCTTTGCGAACCGAGCGCTGAGTGAACTGCACTTCCGGCATGGAGCACTCACACCGCGGGATGGTCGGCGGCGTACTCCCCCCGTCATCGAGAGTCGAGTTAGACGCAAAGAAAGAGCCTAGAAGATCGGCTTTCTCCTTTGCGGTGTGGGCCAGTGAGTCGTCCTCCCTGTGCAGAGATGGAAGAGATGGCTGACAGAAATTCCCCTGGACAGCCTTGGCGAGAGACCAGAATGCACGGGTTCCAGAAGGAAGACGAACTAGTCTCTCGCCAATTCTGCCTATGTGCTCTGACTTTGCCTTGGCAATGACTCTTTTGAAGGACCTAGAGGCGGAATTATACTTCTTTTTTAGAGCGCTGGTGTTTACATCCCTGGACGCTGATGCGTCAGCCCAGGCTCGGTAGCACTCCTGCTTATAGCATGATGCTATTTTACAGGAGCGACCAAACCATGGCTGAGATTTGCCTCCAATGGGCGCCACAGAGGAAGGAATAAAAAGTTCCATACCCTGAAGTACCACATCAGCGACAGAATCCGCAACAACGTTGGGATCGTCCGGCGAGAAGCAAACCCGCCCCCAAGGGTAGGATGCAAAGAAAGACCGCATGCCATCCCAATCGGCTGACCTATAGTGCCAAACACGGCGGCAGCCTGCAAAATGCAACCGCGATTTCAGCGTGAGTGGCACCACACTCCGGACAAGACAATGGTCCGAGGAGCCTAAAGGGGCGTCGATGGAAATCTGATATCCGTCCGGGTGAGAGGTCAGCAGAAGGTCCAACAGGGAAGGTGCATGATCCTCCACATCTGGAATCCGCGTAGGCGAAGTAACCAGTTGTGTCAGACCATATGCCAAGGCAAAATCATGAACAGATCTCCCCGCATGATCGGTTAAACGTGAACCGAGCCATTCGGCGTGATGGGCGTTAAAGTCGCCGAGGATCACGAACTCTGCGGAGGGGATCTGCTGTAGCAACGAATCTGCAGCCATTTGGACGTGGTCGAAGAGTCGGTCTGTTTCGGCGTTACCGCTATGGGACCTATAGAGGCACCCGTAGACGCGCGGATGGTCGTCGCTGTCTACGCGTAGCCAAAGGATGGACAGGTCCGAACCTTCAAGTCTGCCGAGGCGTCGAGAACAGATGTCCTCTCTGACGTAAACGCAAACTCCAGCCCGAGGCACAAAGGAGTGTTCCAGTTTGTACCCCGGGCAGGAGAGATACGAGACATCAGCCGGAGAGGACACCTGCGTCTCGGTCAGAAAGAGCAGAGCCGGCCTCGCCGTCTCGAGATGGTAGTGGACGGCGTTTAGGTTAGAGTGAAGTCCCCTGATATTGCAGAAATTCACGGACAGCGTGGCAGGGGTCGCCTTGGTCTTGTTGCTCCGTTTGCCCCGAGCAGTTTTAGTCTTGAGCGGAATATTGCCCCCCCCCCCAGAATACGCGGGGCAGCCTGAGCACCCACGCTCAGAAGTGGAGAAACATGGTCGTGGATGCTCAGCGAGGGATTCTCCAGGGGTGCTGGTACCCTCCTGGGGTAGTCTATCATTTAATTCCGCTACCATGTGATGGGGGGGGGGGGATTTTGGCCTCCGGCCACCTGCACTCACCAGACGAAACGCGGAAGCAGAGCTTCCACTTCACGCCGGTATTCTGTGAGGTCGTGGTACCACCCCGGTTTGAGCCGGCCCATACGTGCGACAGCAAAGCTGTCGCGTGGCTCTACCACTATTTAATTATTTGTACTGCGTTACTCATAGTATTACACTCCATAAAACTATTCCGAAAAAAATTAACCCTGAAAGTTAACGGGGAAGTTAAATTAGAAAACGGTATTTAACCCATGCAGCGTTTTAATAACATAATAAATTTCATTAAAAATAGGATGTAGTATAATATGGACATATAGAAGTTAGAGAAAAACAATAATTCAAATAATTGTTTTTCTCTAACTCCAAATGAAGTACGCTCTCCTAAATACTGTATATGCAAGAATACTTACATCAATTTGTCGCATACCTAATGGAAACACGAAACCTTTTTTTTTTCATTCACCAGAGATGCAAAAATACTTGCCTCAATGAAAATAAAGTTGTCTATATATCCACTGCAGTTATCGCACTTTGCGCGCGGAGTCACCTCGCGCCGTGGGCGTAGGCGTGGGAGTCGGCTCTGACAGCGCCTAGCCAACACCGTGCGGTTAGTGAAGCGAGACAATTTAGTGAATTAAGAAGATGCATGCGACATGTTACAAGGTTAATGCATTTCAACCGTTCAGAAGACAATGTTAAAGCAATTAAATGACAAACAATGGAATAACGGATTAGTATGTGGTGGTCTAAAATGTTTGGTCTATTTAAAAACGGCCTTTAAAAAGTATTTCGATTAGAGATCTTTTAATAAATAAATTTAAAAACTGAACCTCAATTTTAATTGTATTATATACACAGTTTTCCTGAAGTAAAACCTAAAGTTGATTTTAACGTACGATTCGTTGAAATTTTAATCTGAGAACATTATTCCAAGCATTCTAATGTCATAGTTAGGAGATTGATTGTACTAAGTTTGCGTTTATGGTTTAATTAGAACATATTGCCCGTTTACTGCTGCATTCCTTAATCAACCTTTGCGACGTGTATAGTATGTTTTACCGCTCCAGTAACCTCACATTTGTTTTGGTGTAGTATTTAAGTGGATGCTGTGATCCATAGGCCATCTACATTTAACCTCGATTAAGAATCAAAATGCAGATACGTTGTCACCCTTAAGATTGAATCCAGAACTAGGACTAAGATGGAATGCCTCAATCCCAGTAAAACGGATCTCCGGTTCTCTACTCACCATACGAAACACAGCAGCATTATTAAGCCGTATTCTAAGAGAGCGTGGTCCTTCCCTGGTCGAGCCGACCCATTCGTGCTAAAACCCTAATAAAGCTGCAGCGTAGTTCTACCACGTATACTTGCTGTCCAAATTGTAGTAGTATGTGTTTAGATGACAAATAAAAGAATTTGATCTTATCGAAATCGGGACTAACATTTTAGACTTCCTCATACTCCACTCATAAATAAACGACACCTTAAAGTAACTTTGTTAAAGTAACAATTTGATTGAAAGCATTGGCAGACATACAAAACCGGTACAAAGCACATAGCTGCAATGATTTCCAAACCATATAATAGTCAGTGTTTAGAGTGTAATAGATAATAGTAGAGCCTTGTCTGTGAATATGAATACATATAATAAAATAGAACATTTCAAATTATTATCATTATCAATATATCAAAGTTTAGTAAAGAGGTTGACAATCGGAGTTTTATTATTTTAAGTTATTTTCAGGAAGGTACTGCTACCCCATCTCCTATTTTCACATATGCCGGTAGTTGTGGGAGCATTACGCTCGAAGTTGTTGACCAGTATAACCTAGGACAAGCCCCTCGATCGACGGATCCAACTAGGCTGGGCAATGTTGACTCATCGCGTAACGTGTAACCAAAAAACTTTATACCAAGACCGTACAATCAGCGCGTGTTTCACACCAATTCCTGTTGGACGGAACACTACGCGCCGTACGTCGTTAACTGGGATGTGATCCGTCACTGCTAATCGTATGTGGATGCTTAAGGTTGCTCGGCGAGCTTATGATAGAACCGACAATCGATGGGAAAGAAAGGTTCTCGAGTAGCAACCTCGTAACAGCAAGAAAAGTCTCAGGCGGCGCCCATTATATGAAGTGACGATCTGTCCTGGATCGTATTCAGAAATGCGATATAAACTTGTGATTGGCTATAAAGGTGATGATGAGAGACCATTTTACTGCAAACCAGGCATTAATCAAGAATAAATGTAGATATTTATTGGCCACAACAACAAAAATCCATTTACCATCACGTGGTACCCGGTTACTATGATCAAAGAACGTTGTACTTTTGTACGGCCAGTAAAATTAGGTACGAAGTACATGCAAAAACCGTTACTATAACAAGCTACTTGTAAACGAAGACTTAAAATGTACGGGTGGTAGGGCTCCAAGTTAGGGACTGTTAGGCAAATGCATGGAAATAACAATGTGAAGTGTTTCCATAAATTGTTTGAATTATCAATAAGCTGTCTGTTTAAAGATATGTAATATAAAGCGTCAATTATTTTAATAAAATTAGTGTTTTGTTATATAAAAATAATTGTTTTGATACAATAAAATAAAACTATAATTAAAATGGGAGTTCGGATAGGTGACAAGAGTGGTCTTGAAGTATTCTTTGTGTTGAATGGAAAACTCTGCTTCAAATGTAAATAATTCTAATCAATCAAAAATTGTTATGCACTCGGATAATATAGGTACATACTACATACGTATACATTTTTTTCAATCAAATTATTAGCGTAGCGGTGGACCTTTTTATTGTTTTTTTTTTTCATATAATATTATACCGTGAAAGAAAACTATGATAAACTTGTAGTCAAAGATCCGAACTAACATCGAACCTTACCCTTCAGTTTACTGCACGAAAATCATTTTTATCAAATATTGTTTTACAAAAAGGTAATTATGTTTTACAGAAAAAAGACATAACTTTTCACGATTAATGAAATAAGTAGATTATAAATTGTTTAAAATTATCATCATACCGTGTAAACTCTATAAAGCGAAGTCGAAGGGAAAGGCTTTTTTATTGTGTTATAAAGTTTTCGTTAAATGGATAGTAAAAAAAAACAATATAATTTTACGAATAAGTGGCTTTAATTTTGTAACTATGTATAAAATTTGCAAAACAAAATTATAATCTGTTATGTTTGTTTGTCCTTTTTTTAATGCCAGTATTTTAAATGTATCTTTCGTTGTAGTGGGATCATACGAGTATTCGTTGAATAAATAGAATTTTTCATTATACATCGTCTTCTTCACCGCCTTGTTCCTCCTCATTTTTCTTCACTGAATCAAAGATTTCTTCATCAGTGAGTAAAGCTGCTCTTGCTAAGTTCTCGTCTACATGTATGCCGGTTTCTAAGTTTTCAGTAAAATCAGCGATATGGGGAGGGAGGGGGGCGGAGCGAGACAATTGTCGACAAGAAGCCAAGCTTTTAATTCTACATCCCATTTTCGCAATGCTTTTTCCAAAAACTTGACTCGTCATCCAGTTTTATTTGTTCGCTTTATAGTTTACTGGCAATATGGTATTATACCCATTTTCAAAAAGTGATTTAAATGTATCCTAGAGTGATAATGAACAACTATAACTTTTATATAAATTTTCTAAAACCAAATAAGTTCCATAAAAATTACTTTTAATCTATCGTTTTAAATTTTCACGTAAAAACGCTAGCCACCATGCTGTTCAACTCGTGACGTAACTGTCTTCGAATTTTGCCAATTTTGCAAAGGAATAAGATACTTTTTAATGTTTAATAATCAGTTATCATCTAAATTATTGTTGTGTTGTGCTTGAATGCAAAAATACGAAAATAAGAACACCGGGAAAGTTATGGATTCAACTGCCAACTGATTTAAATGTAAGAAATACTTGGTTAAAACTGTCAAGAAGATACCCGGATACATTGTAAGATCATTTTGATGAAAGTATGACTTATACTTAACTATCGTTTATGCAAAACCAAACATCATGAGGTGAAGGGTATCGCAAGTTTAATTTTATAAAAATATTACGCTAACTTAGATATTATAACTAATGATTGCTCATGATTGTAATTATAGATAAACTAAAATATGATAGCTACTAAACTATGTTTTATCAAAATACAGTCTGACCTGGTATTGTTATTGTATAAACAAAAGTTGGTAATAGGTACTTACATTAATGTTTTAATATTCCTCAACGCAGCAGAACAAAAATTGGGATTGCATGCAGAAAATTTTGCCACCATCAATTTGTTTATCCTTCCTTGGTAGATTAGTACTTTCTACTTTTATGAATTCGTCTTCCATGATGCTTTTTCAATAAAATTCGGAATAAAACTCAATAATCGTAATGATAACTTTAAAAATTTCGAAATAACACAGCACATTAGCTAGTTCTCTTAATCAGTGACACAGGACACTAATACTCTTAGCAGGGGTCAGTGATGTCACGACAGTCTCTAATATGGCGGACAACGTTTTGCAGATTTGAGAAACAAACAAAAATATATATTCTTAAAATTGAAATATAAAAACCACACTCTTCAAGAGTGTGGTTTGCAAAATGATGCGGTGACCAGGATTAAGAAAGGAATGCTTCGGTGGTTTGGTCATGTAGAAAGAATTAATGAGGAAAGACTGACAAGGCAAATATATATTGCAAAAGTGAATGGAAGAGTCGGAAAGGGAAGTCCTAGGCGAAAGTTTGTCGACCAAATTGGCGATATACTAAAAATGGGCCAAATTAAGAGTACCCCTAACCGACGAGCATGTATGCGTAGGTATATGGATGTGGAAGAGGCGAGAGAGGTATCTCAAGATCGTGCTAAATGTAAGTCTGTAGTCTCTGCCTACCTCTCTGGGTGACAGGCGTGAGTGTTTATGTTATGTTATGTGAAATATAAAATTTATAATGTAATTTTATAAATAGAAATCAATATTTCTCGTTAACTTTTTACAAAATCTATCATAAATTATATTTTTCCTTGATCTTCCATCTTCCAAATGGTAGACACAGTATAGTAGTAGTAGATGACAAAAACAAAACGTTTTGTAACATCACTTTTTCTTTTTCCCTTTTCTAATGCACGAATAAATTACACTTTTTCCTCAATGCACAAATTACTTTTTTTAATGGCTATGTTTACAGTTCATTAATTTGAAAGCAACCAAGAACAAGATACGCTATCCATAGCAACAAAACGTATAAGTTAAGTAAGTAAACACGTGCTAGGTGATTAGGACAAACAAATGAACACATTACTAAGAATTTCTTTGTACGTACGAAATATCGACTCTATATATCAGTATTGTGTTTAAAGGTCACTAAAATTAATGCTTATTGGGGTCTAAATAATTATTATTGTTTCGCTATCAAGAGTGGTTGCTACGGTATTAAGAGCGTTCTAACATAAGAGTAAACCAAACAATACCTTAGCAATTTCTACGTTTTAAGGAATTTTTCATTAAATAGAACTTCGCTAATAAAGTTTACACTGTATTAAAATTTTTGTTAACAAAAAACATACGAGATATATTTATTATTATATTGTTCAATGAAACATAATTTACATCCAGTAAGTGAAGAGTGATGGTCAATATTAAGGCGGACCCAAAGAGCATATAACCACTGTACGGGTCTTATACTATATAGTGATATTATGACCAAAACGAACGATGAAAATGAACGATATGAGTGTCATATCGTTCATTTTCATCGTGACGCAACACGCATGTTAATAATAACAGTTGTTTGAATATAATAGACAGACATGAAACTTATCAATAATTGCAAACATCTTATCGATGTAAAAACCTTGAGTTTCCATATCAAACTTTCAAAGAGAAAGACTAAGTCGTATAATGTTAATGTTACCTAGCGGTTTGTATATATATACATATATATATATATATATATATATATATATATATATATATATATTATATAATATTTTAAACAAACAAATATGAAACAAGTCATGAATGACGTAATAAAAAGGAAACTTATAAAATTAAAAGGTAAATTTCGAAGAGTAAAAGGTAAGAGTTGATAATAGAATAATTCATTTAAGACGAGGTCTTAGCACGATTTCAAATTCGTTTTTCACCCGCGCGTCCCGTAGTGGGCGGAGCGAAACCGGCAGTCGGAGAGCGCAGCGTGAACACAGTATGCGCAAAGCAAGCAGGCAATACACCTCCAAACAAAAAGTTTTCCGTGAGGTCTCCTGTTCGCAATACTACTAGGTATTATACTAATAATATTTTGAGTACCTACTCACTAATTTCAAAAAAAAAAAAAAAAAAAAACAACCACCAGACCTCTGTAAACAGTTTTGATAATATTTATAGAGGTAACAATATAGTAGTACGGCGGGCACAATTGGCAAGAAGTGTCCACTGCGCTGAATTAATGCGTGTTGGTAGAATTCACTTATCTGCATGTTTTTGTGAGCGCTTGGCCTAATAAATAATCGTAAAGAAATAAACGATGCTCAGATAGGATTTTAAGGAATATAAATCCAGTACTGTTGGCCATATGAGGACTCTCAAGGTCACTTAGCGTGCTATAGAAAGGGCTATGCTCAGGGTTTCTCTGCGTAATAAGCTTAGAAATTACGATATCCGCAGTAGAACCAGAGTAACCGACATAACCCAACGGATTAATAAGTTGAAGCGGCAATGGACCGGCCATAGAGCTCGAATAACCGACAACCGATAAAGAAAAAAGGTTCTCGAGTGGCATAGATAGATCCGAGTAACCTCTGTAAATATTATCAAAACTGTTTACAGAGGTCTGGAGTCTGGATATCATACTACATTTTAATTATCAATATTTTTTTAAAGTCAGTTTTATGATATGAGCCAGTACTTCGTCAACTATTTACATACATATACATTAAAAACGCCAACTCACTAATTCTAAAAAAAGAAAAAACAAATTTCGTTGGCAAAATAGCTAACATACAGAGATAAAGAATAGTTTCAAATAAAACCACTTGAAAATTCAAATTTATTTTACTGTTTTGTATTACCTTACCTCCGGACTTGATGGAGTGACCTGAAGGTGTACTACGTACGGTTGGAACTGGTCGCCTAGTACTACTAGGTGTGCCGAGTTTGGGCTCGCTTTGTTAGGTACTCGGCGACCAGTTCCAATAGCGATTACCAAAGTACACCTTCAGGTCACTTCGTCAAGTCCGGAGGTAAAGACTCATCACACCTAACAAAACGAGCCCAAACTTGGCACACTTAGTTCTACTAGTCCAGGTGTCCGTATTAGTTACTGAAGTTCACCTACAGGTCACTCCATCAAGTCCGGAGGTAAGGTCTTATCATAACTGACAAAACCAGCCTATAGTCCAAAGCTAACATCTCACTACCAGTAGAGGGCTCCCAGTGCGAAGCAGTCTCTAGAGTAGGTATTCATATTTCGTATCTAAATCTAATTACTCTATGTATCTAAGTATATTTTTGAGGTATAAGAAATCAAAAACAAATTCGATCTTTCAAATTATCAAAATAATTTTATTTGACTACGATTCCCGCAGCCAACCGTGCGTACACTTGTGTGCGAGACCCGTGTCAATATTAGTTCGATTCTATACCTATATCAATTTTGTAAACGCGTCCTTAAAAAATCTTAACGTAAATACTGCGGCAAAAAGAGCGACACGTCTCTACAGCACCAGGCCTCGGCCGATAGTGACTCTGCACAGGCGTTTGCGCAAACATCCGTACGTATTATTTCAGAAATAAGAAAATGCTGTTCAAAAAATCTATTAGTTGGACTAAAAAATTAAAACACTATAACGTTAATATGTTGAATGTATAAAAATCTGACAAAAAATCAGAATGATTGCATACTAGCATGGTTTTTACTCGTTAAAAGAAATTTTTAGAGGTATGTTTGTGATTTTTTTCTGTCGTATTAAATTATTGGCATCATGTTTTCAACACACTATGTAACTAGCATATATCCTGGACAATATCAAATATTTTTCTGGGTTTGTTTACTGCAGTTGATCATATACTTTGAGGCATTATAAAACTTGCATTTAGCATCACGCCTCGTCTTAAACACATTTACTAGGAGAGCAGTCCATGTTATTAAAATGGTGCTAGTAGGGTATCCAAGTAAGCGGATCGAATTTCAAATCAATTTGTTACGGCTACGTTGTAACTATGTATGAATAATTTTTAATCGAAAATATATAATACAACTAAATATTAAAACTTTTTGTCTTATTTTTTTACACTAAGTGATATAAAAGGGCGGACTTAATGCTTTATTGCATTCTCTACTCGTCAACCCTAGATGATTTGACAAACTGTGATAGGTGTAGACAACCACTTCATAAATTTTATAACCAAGTAATAAAGATATAAGGTGCAATAAAACGCAAATGGAATATATTTATTAAAAAAAATACATACTTAATATCTACAATAATATAAATATAAAATACATAAACGGGTACTTATATACAAAATATTTAAATAAATAAAAAAATAAAATAACATGATACATATTATCGACGATTGTTGCAACCAGCAAGAAATTTCTGCGTTATATTCTCGTACCGCTAGGAAGTTTTGTTGTCGCTTGGTAACTTAAAAAAAAATCACATTTTCACAGATTTCACTATTTCAAAATAATATTTGTACCTAACTGTGAAATTATTTAAAAAAAGAAAAGATTAATAATTTCGCGGAACCCTGGTGACTTTTCCCTGGAACCATTAGATTCTGCAGAACCCACTTTGGGAATATCTGAACTAGACTATTGCACGACTCATAACGCGAAGCGTCTCGAAGTATCTCCCATAGAAGAATAGTCGAAAATGTGTCCATCCGTTAGCAGTAAATAAGAGTTCAAAAACTCTCCACTACAGCGCTCGAGTAGCTACAGGGAATGATAAATCGCAGTAAAATACGTTGAGAGTGATTTTGAATGTAAAAATTTTGAAAGCTATAAAATAATTATTGTAAAAAGAAATATGGTGAGTCTGTGCAGTAAAAAAATTACAAAAAGTTCTTTAAAATTTAGACTGTAGCTACAGTGGCGCCACCCTTATTTAGCGCTTTCCTACGGACACTTTTTTATACAGAGTCTGTACTCCTTACCTCTACACTCCATACTTATCAGGTATTATTTTGTGTTTTACTCTCGACACGTCAAGGTCAAGCAATATTGTGTTTTAAATTGCCTCTATCATAACCACATTGCACTTATACGGTAATATGAGTAACCGTATATCTATAAAACACTAAAACCAATCCATGTTATATTTTTAAAAATCATTTTATATTGCTACTCTGAAGACCGTTTTTTTTTAATTAGCTTCAGAATTACATCTACTGTTTTATATCAATAGCCTGCGTAGTTTGTTGATAAAGTTTTATTGCTATTGAAAGTTTAAAGGCACTTTCATATTTTTTAGCTCTTGATAGACAAAGGACAAATGTACCATACAGCCTAATATTGATTTTAAACTTTTCATGACATACGCAGGCTACTAAATGGGCGGCGGTGGCTGAAGCGGCGACTTCACACGCACGTATGACAGAGCCGCTGCGTCGCGTTGAATTCGCGTAAACCGCATTGTGTCGCTTCGCACGCCCGATTTTTAATTTTTCAGTCGTTAGTATTTTTCTTACAAAATAATTCCAGTATTATATAAAGTAATAATGCTACAGTGGTAGTTAAAACAATTAAACTTAAGGGACTTGCTAAATGTAAAATAATAAGTTGCTTAATGTCTTCATTATGCTGTATCACAAGAGCTGACATTCAGCCACCCCAAGCGTTAAACAATATCTCATACGTATCCTTTTATACAAGGATGACGAACGCGTACAGACCACCTACATTTGTTTGCGATTAACAATCAAAATGGTCATATGCATTGTCATCTCTGAGAACTTAGAAAGAATGGCCTCGTTACAAGTAAGGTCTTCGATTCTTATACCTCGCCATATGAAAAACACAGTAGTGTCACACTATTATTTTACGTTGATAGTAAGTGCGAGCGGGGATCTTTTTCGGTCAATCGGATAAGTTCATACTGCAACAATCTACTATAACGTACCTACCACATCATACGATTCAGAACCTAAATCTTAAATGGACAAGCAAACTTTACCTGGTGACGTGTAGTAGCTACTGCAGTTTAAGGACACTGATGGGTTGCCACTTATGGGGCCTAAGATGAAATAGCTTATAGTCTGTTATACTTGGTCTCTATAGCCTTTCGACCGGATTACAGCAGTGCATGTACTGCTGCTTCTACCCGCTGTTCCTAACCAAACGGACTCGTAAGTAGTCGAACAGGTGTATATTTCTTAAAATGCTTTAAATGGAAATCATACGGATGTATCAATATCTGTTCAAATTACATGATTTGTAGCATTCTGCACTATACAAATAACTTCGAGAATTCGGAGAGTTATAATAATTTTGCTTAACGTTTAAAGTGTCAAAAGGCCAAGTTATACGAGTCATATTGATAGGACTGGTTAATTTAAGATAAATTTATAGACCTTATCGCTGTTGTTTAAACCCGTGGTGCCAGTGTCCAACATGTACATTATTTTTAAATTTATTGAATGAGATTGTCTTGGTTGAGGTGATCAGGTTGGAGTTGGATCAGTCAGGTGAGGAGGTTGGTGATCACGACATATCTTCTTAAAACAAAACAACCAGTGTGTTGCCAGTTCCAGATAACATATGGAACAGTTATATGATCCTTCCCTGCTGGCCGTATGTGGATTCATAAAGTCGCACACCCATTGAAGATATAAGTAATTATTTTAGGTTCTCCGCATATGCTTACAAAATGTAATTTACCACAAGCAACCCAAGTTGTATTTGATGGTGATATAATCCCGACTAGTGACATCTCAGAAACTTGGGTTTATACATTGATAAGATCTTATCTTGGGATCCTCAGTTACACAAAGTTAGTTGTAAACTTTTTGCAATTACTCATTCTTTGAGGACTACGAAATTTTTTATCAACTGTCACTAAACTTGTGCTTGTGCAAACTCTTCTGCTTCCAGTCCTCGATTCTATCCCACTTATCTACTCACTATAATTATTCAACTTTGGATCCATCAAATTCATATGTATATAATTATTCTACCTTTATCTAGCTACACTATTTGTTTACATGTATGGCACATTTATGTTTCAAAATATATATTTGTACTTTATCAATTTATATTATTAACATAATAAGTATGTATCTATTTATCTTATCTATGTACTTGTATACTATTCTATATTATGCATCTTTATTTCAATTTTATGGTTTATAATTAAAATAATATTATTTTTGTCGCCAAATCACAGACATGTTTTTGTTTTCTTGCAATCATGTCCATCCAAAGGTTGACTGGAAAAGATCGCTCTTAGCGATAAGTCTGCCTATTGTACCACATTTCTTTCTCTACTTTTTTTTGTTAATGTTTATGTTTTTTTGGCGTGCAATAAAGTGTTATCTATCTATCTATCTAAGGAAAAATTTTCCTTGAAGATTTACAACGTGACAGACTTCATAATGAGTAGTTAATTCCAGAATTCGTAACGATGATATCTTCACTAGAACCAGAATAACCGACATAGCCTATGGATCAGTAAGCTGAAGTGGGAATGGTTCAATAGTGGGCAAGCCACTAAAACCAACAGTTGAATGGGAAAAAGAATTATCGAGTGGCAATTTTTTTAAGACTATGTAAAAGTAACAAATTCAAATATTTCGAAGTTTTAATTTTTCAATTAAGCTGTCTACTATCTAATTTTGGCGTAGAAGTCATTAAAAAGCACAGAATTTTATAATACATGCATGCAAGTAACCTTATTAGCTGCCACTTGGTAGGCGCACACCAAATAATCCCCTGTTCCCTCCACCTAACGGGACTGTAAGGAATTGGCGGAATTCAATCCCCCTCCCCCGACCTCCCATCACGTTTCAGCTATTTTTAAAAAGTTTTATGCTTATAAAAGTTACGCCTGTTACCTCCACTCGCATTCTGATTACGTCCAAACGCAACTCGCGTTCATTCAAACCGTATGTAAATGTGACGTATTATAAACCTCCACACTCCGCCCCCATGGCGTTCCAGAAAAGAAAGCGAAGACATTAAAGAGTACAATAAATATTATCCCTCTTTTTTAGTTTTTCTTCATGGTTTGATCTATTTTTTACTGACAATTTTGATACATCACCTGGACCGAAAATAATCAGCCATCGCCAGAATGTATCATGTAATGTATCAATTTAATATTATATAAATATACAAAAAATCGTAAATGTATGAATGTATAAATGAAATGTATAATGTATACAAATTAAATATACTAAGTAGATATGGGACATATGCTGTTTCTGAGTTTGTATTTAAGTTTTTATAAAAAATAATGTTTAGTTAATGTTTTACAGACATTTTAGTACGATTAAGCCTTGTAGCATTTAGTATTAATCATTATGTAGTTCAAATTCTATCTCAGCTTTATCTTACCCTTCATGCAGCTTTATCATTTTTATTGCACTATTAAGCAATTACAAAAAAAACAAAACTTTAGTTATGATATTTATTTTCAAAATTAGTAATATTCTAGAAGTGTACATTCTAGCAATAAGATTAATTTACCTTTACTTTCGAAATATCAACTCCAGTAACTCCTTTAACCAGCTCAGGTATACATTGCACGATACTCAGCACTTCGCCAGTCAACTTGGCGGCGCCCACTTCTCCACCACCACAAGACACCATTGTCACTTTACGAGCCTGCGACAGTGGCGCCGCCACCTCTGCTGCCACCTAAACAAATTATACACAATATGAACATACTGCCTCGTTGGTCTAGTGGTTGTAGTAGTGCGACTGCTGATCATGAGGTCCTGGGTTCGAATCCCGGGTCGGGCCAAAAAAACTAATTATTGAGTTTTTCCCTCAGAAAATTCTCACTAGTTGTTAAAAAAAGCAGATCCTGATCTCTCTCCGGTCGTGTCGGTTTACCGTCCCATCGGATTATGTAGATGAGGGAATAGAGTGTGCACCTGTGCTGGTGCATACACTTGGGCACTATAATCCTGTCCTGCGCCGATGGCTAGCCTCCGTTGAGGCAGGCCGCCGTGGCCGGAATTCGGTCTGGAGGACATTATTATTATTATTATAAACATACTTACCATGTAGTGGTGTTGTAAGAATATCCACTAGCCCATATCATCCCGTGGGTTTCATAAGAGGCGATAGAGGGAAACAAATCAGGATATGAGCAGCAGCATCTTCCTAATAACGACTAAAATTAAAAACTGCGGTTGTCAACCCGCTTGCCAATGGTTGAAACTATAGCAAATATCTCCCCCTATGAGACAATCAATGGAGGAGGCCTGTGTTCAGCAGTGGACTTTTATAGACTGTAACAGCAATGGTAATATAAATATTACTTTGTATCATTTTGTATCACTTAATGAGAATGAATGGACGTGAGAAATGAGCGAACGGGCATAATATATAGGCTGTATGTAACAACTATAATTTTTATCTTAATATATATAAATTACGTGTCACGTTATTTGTCCGCGATGGACTCCCAAACTACTTAACCGATTTTAATCAAATTTGCACACTGCGTGCAGTTTGGTCCAACTTGAGAGTTACTTAATTTTTTTGCCCATGAGTGACCCACAATCTTTTTTTGCGAATTTAAGGATTTTTAATAGGACAGGACAAAGGGTCGTCGAAAAGGGCAGAACAACGTCTGCCTGGCAAGCTAGTTAAAATATAAAAATTCACTGCTGGATCTAAAAATAAGCTGTCACAAGGAATTTAATTACACTCACCACGATATAGCCTGTATAGCGTGATGAGCGTGAGGTTAGTAAGCACAAAACCAATATAGCAATCTGTAAAATTATGGTACGACATTTTCAAATAAAAGTCGTCGGTAAGTCATCTATAGACTATTTTTCCCTTAATTAACGAGAAATATTTAAAGATGTTGGTACATACCCCTTACACAACGATATCTATTTTATCTGATCAATGTAAAAAAAATCATGGAATGACCATACCTTTGGTAATGTTTCCAGCATCATATCGACCATTGCTGCTGAGCCGTATTCTTTCCACGCTTCTGCTTTCTTAGCCATTTGTTCTGCATCCGCTACCGCTTTAGCTTTAATGGCGTAAGCTTCCGCCTATGAATAATAATTGACAGATATATTAACTGATTACGACAGTTTCTCAACAATCATCAATATTTCCTAGTACTATGTTAACAGTAGAAGTCAAGAGCATAAAGCCATTTTGAAAGTTTCAATTTCTCTAATCTAATGGAAGAGGTTTTACCGCGAGTTTCATAACAATCCATAAAAACTGCCAATCACACACACTGGTGCCGGGGGTCTCTACATAAAAATTTAAAAGATATTGGCTCCGAATAGATGAACCCGCCTGTTGTAGCTTTGTACATGAAATAGTAATTATTAATTATCGATTTATCTAATAATTATAATTACAAATAAAACCATAAAATATACTTAGGGATATTTGTTAATATACATGTATAAGAGTAAGCAGAAGAGCATGCGGCTCACCTGATGGTAAGTGGCTACCGCCGCCTTTGAACAACTGCAACACCATAGATAAATGTAGGATCTTTCTTGAAGGTCCCTAAGTCGTATCGGTCGGTTGTGCGAGGAAAAAAACTTGTTGTAAATCGCACAGTGGTTGACCGCCAATCATCTAAATGGTATGGATAATATCTTGAGATGTGTGGCGATGTGCGATGGTGAAATTGAGTGGCTGGAATTAGTCCGAACAATTCCTCTGAGCACTCCCCGATGGTAGATGTTATAAAATATGCAAAGAGAAGCAATATCTCTTCGCAGCGCCAGTGAATCAAGCCGAAAAGAAAGAATCGCCGAAGTATCGTACTGCTCTACGCTGGATTCGAACAAATGGAAGGAGCTGGCACAGTTTTCCATGTGAGGCCTGCACCTTGTAAAGTTACAGGCGGTGTGAAACCGGCATGAAACACTGTCTGCTGAGCACGCCAAGCTTTTTTGATGCCAATTTGATCTTCTCTTCCAAGTGACCACGAAACTGCACGTCATTCAATATGTAGATGCCGAGATTGCCGATACTGGCTGAAGCAACAAGGGGAGTGCTCTGAAACTGTGGAGATACTGCAAAGGGGTTCTTTTTAGTGGTAAACGGGCAAGCTTGTGTCTTCTGGAGATTGAACTAGACTAGATTTAGTCGCCCCCAATCCGAGACTCATCAACCGAGCCGAGAAGCATCACCAGTGCTGTCATCTCCAAAGCAATGAATGTCACCGGTTTGCAACATGTCATTGATATGCAGGAGATAGAGCGTTGGCGATAGCACGCAGCCTTGTGGAACACCAGCGTTAATAGACTTGTAATCGAAGCATGCACCGTCTACTACGATCTTGATGCTCCGTTCAACCAGAAAACCAATTCCCAATCCAATTGCCAAAACCCAAAGGAAGGAAGTTTCGAAAGGAGCGCTTTGTGCGCAAATCCGATCAAAGGCTTTCGCTATGCCCAAACTAACCGTCAAAACCCTTGGACTCGACCGCCAGCGCCCATCCGGGTGTTAGGGCAATTAGCTGAGTCAGTTGAAGCTTTAAGAGCCGCATAAGCTAACAGCACTGACATCTTAGTAATTAGAGAAATAGAGGTGTGTTAGGTAAAGACTAGACGAAGTATAAGAAGATTTCCAGATGAGCGACCCCGACGGAAACCGTACTGGCAGTCACTAATCAGCTGGTGCTCCTTAAGGTAAAGCATGAGCTGGCTGTTAATAATGGACTTTATTATTTGGTGACAGGACTGTAGTTGGACGAATCAGAGCGGTTACCTTTTTTAGGGTACCGGAAAAGAAGCGTTAGATCCGGTGCCAACTCTGAAGCACACGTCCTCAGCACAATTGGAGGTCTCCGTCAGGTCCTCTCGACTTGTGGATGTCCAGGTAGAGGAGTGCTTTACGTACTTAGTACACTCACACTGCGGGATTTCCTCCCAGCACCGAGAGTCGAGTTGGACGAAAAAAGAAAACCTAAAGATCAGCTTTCTCTTTTGCGGCGTTGGCCAGTGAGTCGTACTCCTATACAGAGATGGTAGTGATGGCTTACAGAAATTCCCTTGGACAGCCTTGGCGAGAGAACAAAATGCACGGTTTCTCGAAGGAAGGCGAACTAACTTCTCGCAAATTCTGCCAATGTGCTCATAAATAATTAACATTTTTTTCACTAATTCGGATATGTTCTATATCAAATATGGGATATATTTTTGAGATTTTGCAATGATAGGTACTACCACACGATCTCAAACTGTGATAGTGTGTGGTCGCGGATATAAAAAGTGGACAGAATGCGCTGTCACTCATATTCTTTACATGTGACAGCTTCTAGAAGCGAGTGATTATGTGCGAGTACGACTACTACTGAACTTCGTATGAAAACCAGACATAGGTTTTGAAGATTGTTAAGGTGTCTTCAGTGATTTATGAACCCAGACTAAAGAAGAAAGATATACGGAACTCTGCGTACATTTCAAGTAATGTTGAAACCATGCTCAAGTTCTTGACTTTTTCCTTTCTTTAATATTAATAGTACACAAATGCAGCTAAGCCAAGTTGTTAGTTGCAAATAAATTAGATGCAAATGTACGTGAGTGCGTGTTCTTACAATAAGTTGAGCATGGTTTTAGCTTGTTTTTTGCGTCACTTGAAATGTAAGTAGCGCTGCGTCTTTCTTTTTTTTCATCTGACTTTATAATGTAAAGTGCTTGAATATTAACTTGTATACATTTCTCTCGGATAATTTACTTAACCTGTGACCACCAATTTAGTTTTAAATATAATCTGTATATTTCACCCGAATATATAATCTGTCTATTTTACCCAACTATGGCAAAGTCAAAGTAAAAGGAGAGATATTTTAGCCGACTTTGTATGTGTGTATGTTCATCTATTTCCTCATATCTTCTAAAGTACTCGCCGTATTTTGACAAAGGAGGTATTGTTGGAAGCGCTATGCTCATCTGCAAGTTAAAGGCTATATGACGTAACTTAACGTTCAATATGGCGCCTTATTGCGACTTTTAAGCACTACCAAAAAATAAATGTTGATTAAAATATCTTGTTTGGTATCTAATGAAGGGTCTTTGAAAATTATTTTTCGAAATAGGTTTTTTTTTAAACTTTTTTCTCCATATAACATTATACCATTATAATTTATCCATCCATAAATTGCGTCACACAAATTTTATGGTTTTTTTGACCCCCACCCTCATCTTTGTCACAGGTCACACTTGTGAAACCCATATCAATTTTATATTTCAGAACTTATTAAATTAAAACAGCAGTTTCTCATTTTTTTATTTAAATCAAAAATAATCTTTCATAACATAAAAATAAAGTCAAATATTTTACATAATGGACAAAATAAAAGACCAATTAAATAACGGTAAATTATTAATAATGTTAATAAAAGATACAAAACTTAATCATCTTGATTTCACGAACTTTCGACCCACTCCTTAATATTGTTTATCACTGGTATATAAATTTCATGTTTAATATTTTAGATTTGAACTTGTGACGTCACATAGCTTTTAACCCCGCCTTTCACTTTTCACACAATGTCACAATTTGTTGAGCCCCCCCCCCCCCCCCCCAACGTGTGATGTAATTTATGGATGGCCACTAATTAAAATTGTTTTACCATGTTTGGTGCCCTCCACGCCATATGCTATACAAATCCGAGCTTTGTTTTGCCAGAATATTTTAGTAAAACTATTATTTACGCATTTTATCGCGTTTAATTACTTTAATTTATTTTTTATTATTATCCTGACGTTTCGGGTGCTTTACAGCACCCATGGTCTGAGGGGGGACTGAGATGTTTGACGTCCCAATGTCATTGTTAGCTTCAGTTTTTGAATATTAATTTTTGGTCCGATTTGTTATTGAATATTCAAAAACTGAAGGTAGCCGGGCTAACAATGACATTGGGACGTCAAACATCTCAGTCCCCGTCGGACCATGGGCGCTGTAAAGCACCCGAAACGTCAGGATAATAATAAAAAATAAATTAAAGTAATTAAACGCGATAAAATCCGTAAATAATAGTTTTATTCAATGTGTAGTGTTCGCGTAAATTTAAGAAATCATTATAGAATATTTTAGCTTAGTATTTAGAAACCATTGCTGATAGTTTGCATCAAACTCTTTGTGTATTAATTATTTAAATTATAATTTTAAGGAATACATAAAAGGCGTGATATTGTGTTCTTGGAAAACCTGTATAAGGACTGATGACTGATGGACAGAGGTAACAACATTATCACCATGACATTTTTCTTTTAAAAAGTTAAAAAGCTTTTGTCTGTTAGAGCAATATAAGTTAAATAAAATGCTATTTAGAATCAGCCCTGCATGACGTTAAAGTAAATTGGATTAAAAAGGACAATGTACCTCTCCGCGAACTTTTACTGCCTCAGCTTCTGCCTCTGCTTCAAGGACAGTCTTCAGTCGATGGGCCTCAGCTAATTTTTCTAGGCGAAACTTCTCAGCCTCTGCAGGTCTGTCGAAACATTAAGAATTTATAAGTGGCAAGATTTGCGTAATCAGTATCTTTGACAGACAGATGTCCTTATGCCGGCTGCTGATTAATTTGTAAACAATTAAACATTCTTTAGAAATAAATTAACAGCTTTTTTATTTTAGATTGACAATCAAGATTGTAAAATTAAAAACAATGTAAATAAAATGAAAACATCATCAATGCAGTCGAAGTCAATTAAATACGCATTAATAAAGCTAACTCCAAAACTATTGGTCGGATCTTGATCAAATTTATATGGGACCACATGAGAAGCACCAGCTTTCAAATAAAAAAAAGAATCATCAAAATTGGTTCACCTATAAAAGTGTTCTTAGGTAACATACATAAAAAATACAGTCGAATCAAGAACCTCCTTTTATTGAAGCCTGTTGAAAAATCATAGTAAATCCAGAAAAAAAAGAGAAAGTAGGTCACAGTTGCATTGTCAACCCTGAGGACTAAGATGCCACACAGCTTGGAATTCTACTAGCTTTCTCACCTTTAAAACGTGAAACAAATGCAGTAGGTGCACAACTCCAAAAATATAAACATAAGACTTCAGATTCTTACACTTTTTAGGACTCCCATAAGTAGAAACAAAGCCTACCCATTCACATGTTAACCATGAACTCTTTCAAAATAATTTCTTATATTTACGCGAACACTGCACATTGATTAAAACTACTTTTACGGATTTTATCGAGTTTTCTTTAAATGATTTTTAATTCCCGACGTTTCGGGTGCTTTCCAGCACCCATGGTCACAGGGGACTGAGGTAGGGATGTTGCGAAAATCCGCATCCGCATCCGCAATAATTGCAATAATTGATGCGGATTTTCATGCGGATGCGAATGTAATACAAGTTGTGACAAGAAAGAATTGAAAGAATTTGTTCGCACGTGACAATGACCAATGGGACCGAAAAAATTGGTGGACAAGATCCGACGCGTTTTTTGTGGTGCATCATTTGTTTATTGTAAATAAATCATAACGTGTTTGCGCTGTGGATTACTCGTCGTATAAATAGATTTTGAATGTTATTGTGATACAGTGATCATTGTGTGTACTTAAATAACTGTTTATTGGGAAATCGTCAGGTAAATGCCATTATGTTACACCGGTAATACGTTTTATTGTAGGTAAAGTTTATATTAAAAAAAATATTCTTTATTTATTCCGCGAGGTTCCCGTCATTATTAAATTATCTAACAAGTTAATTAACAATGTCACCACCGACGCAAAGTAATATATGGAATTATTTTGAACCAAATAAAGAGGACCATGATAAGGCTGATTGTAAAATATGCAATAAAAGCTACTCTCGCAAGGGCCGAACCACCTCGTCTTTAAAAAATCATCTAAAATCGATGCACCCAGAAGAATTTTCCATATTTGAGAGCATAAAGAAAAACAATTACAGAAGATAAAATCTGACGCAGGTAAGTTTCATCATATACAATTTTAATTAATTAGTTTTTTCTTGAGGCATTGTTTACATAGTTTAATAGTTCAGTTAGGGTGTGGTTTAGGCGATGTTTCCACTCAATATTATTGTTTGCTGCTGCCACTAACTCGGTCACTTGTAAAAAAATTTAAACAATTATCTACTTAAAAGTCTTACAGAAATTTTATTAAGATCGGTTCAATATTTTTTTATATATGCCATTGTAAACGAATTTGCATATTTCGCTTTTTTAGCAAATAATTAGCCTAGAAATTAATCATAATATCATTATTTAAATAGGTAGTGATGTCTTTTTTTAGCATTTCATTAGTCTTAGCTGTCTTGATACTTTATCCTTCCCATTTTACGAAAAAATAAAATGTAAACAAACAAAGCTGGCTGGTATAATCCGTCCAAACTAAGAAACACTCGTTCCAATCTAAAATAGTCTTTAATGAAGTACTCTTTAAATTAACCGCGTATAAAGTGTTTATAAGCGGTGTAAAAGCGGCCTCAAAAGAACTCTTTTTACAATTTGTTTACATTTAGATTTAGATTCGTCAAGTGAAGATGAGAGACAAGAAATACCAGAAAATGGTAGAAGCTGTACTCAAAAAGGAATTACTTTCTTACCGCGCTAAAAAAAGAGTCAATGTGGATGAAAATCCTCTTAAGTGGTGGAGTGTTCATCGAGAGGAATTTAAGATATTATCACCTGCAGTATACTGCACTGGCAGTGTTCCTAGCGAACAATTATTTAGTAGCACGGGTTTAATTTACGAAACTCTGCGTAACCGCCTTGAATCAGAAAAGGCGGCAATATAACTCTTTATTAAGTATAATTCTCCTATTTTTAACTTCAATTACTAATATGAAAATTAGTAAGTGAAATTAAAAAGATATAGGAGCATTATATACTAAATACTGATTTTCATTACTAAAAATTTTGATATTTACTTTTTCATTAGCTTCACTAACTAATATGAAAATTAGTAAGTGAAATACTTAAATAAAAATTGGAAAATTATACTTTATACTAATTGTCATTAATAAAAATGTTAATAATTACTTTATCATTGTTTTATTTCTTCATTCATATACTATATTTATATAAGATCTTAAACATTCGCATCCGCATCCGCGGATGTGAAACTTCAGAAATCCGCATCCGCATTCACATCCGCAGATGTGAAAAAAACGGCATTCGCAACATCCCTGGACTGAGGTAACTGACGTCCCAATGTCAATGCTAACCCGTAGTACCTTCAGCATTTTAATTGTTATTTATGGTCTGATCTACGCAGAATGGACTTACTGTATCGTGAAGTCTTGCAGTGGTAATCTTGGGTTTAGTTTTCTTTTGATGATCACAAACTGCAGAATTCTGCAGACGGAGGGGAAGTCTACAGTTTGTGATCATATCCTAGGCGGCCCCAACCATTACATCAGATTTTATAGACCACAAATCCGAATCATCGCGAAAGAACATCAATTCCTACCAAGGATGATGCGTGAGGCTACTGAAATTAAAAAACATCCTAATTTCTATAGAGAAGGAGGCTTAGTGGCTTAGAGGCCACCTGCTTGGAACACACCACTGAAAAATTTCAAGACACAGTAAGTTCATTTTGCGTAGATCGAACTATAAATAATAAATAAAAAGCTGAAGGTACTCCGGGTTAAGATTGACATCAGAACGTCAGTCACCTCAGTCCCCCGTGACCATGGGTACTGGAAGGCACCCGAAATGTCGGAAATTAAAAATCGGTTAATTTTTAAACACTATAAAATCCGTAAAAGTAGCTTTAGCCATTAACCCTTTCGCTGTCCTATGTACTACATGCAGGTCACTGCTATTGTCTTAGTATTGTGTCTGAAAACCGGACAGTGAAAGTGTTAAGTTAGAAGATATTACCAGTATCACTATCATTACAGCCTATCAATAGTTCACTGCCGAAGAGAGTCCCCCTGCATAGATGGCCTCATATTTGCCATAGTTACCACAGTTTGCAATTGGTTTGACAACAGAAATTTTATTATCGTAATTCAGCCTTTATCAGGAAATACTGCTGCCCCTTGCCCGGTTCCGATTTCCTAAAGACATAATATGTACAAATAAAATTATATGGAAGTAATTTCTGAATATTAATGTGTGTTTCATGGGTATATAAATAAAGATAAAATTTGAATAAAAACGCTTTTCTTGAGAAATGAAAATGTAACGACTATGATAACTAAACTTACTGATAGTACACTCTACTAAAATTCATTTACGATAAATTATTCAATTTTTAAGCGGAGTATATTCCCTGGAACAGTTTTTTATCCAGGGAATCTATCTGTGTACCGATACTTGGGTTATAAATATACAATATCAGCGACACGTTTTTTTTACGTGATTTGTTCTAGATTTGTGAGAAGTCAGTAAGAGTGCGCATAGCAAAGGCAGATACGAAACAACATTTTACGATAACTAGCTGAATACATGGTGACGTCACGTTTTCTAAAGAAACACTACCTGCGTATAGTGGCTTCTAACTCCTTCTCTCGTCTCTGCACCTCCCACTTTTGTACATTAATTTCTTGGGTGCGTTCAACAACAGCAATTTGCATCTGTTCCTCTTTGATACGTTGTTTCGTTTTTGCAGCTTGCAATTCGTATGCCATTTCTGCTTCAGCCTGCGTAATATGATAGAAACGCATATTAACAGAATTGCCATGTAAACCGTTATGAGTTGTTTTCTAACAAAGATTTTATATTAATTTATAATTATATATTTGTAATGGTTAAACTGTGTACAAGTCAAGGATTGTTAAATGTAACTACAGATGTAGTAATCTGTTGGTGATCAAAAATGCCTTAATAAATTTTAAAACTATTTAATAAAACAGTTTAGAAAGCTCTATTTTTCTGAATTGAAGATTATTTGGAATTCATTTTAAGAACCTTAAATTGATTTACCCCCTTTTATTATTATTTACTGTGATTGTTAAATTATATTACGAAGTGTAGCGATAAAAGAAAACACAATTACAGTGATTCCTGTGCACAACGTATGTATGGAAGAGCTGTCAGTCACTGTTCAGACACTTCAAAAGCTAGGCGCATGTAATATTGTATTTACATTTAGCCAGGGAATTTTGGAATAAGCTAGATTGATCTCGAATATAACTACTCTTTCATCACTTGATGTCATGGCGTCAGCTGGCGACGGCAAAAAATTAATTTAAAAATTAGGAAATTTAATTATTTTGGATATGCGATAGCGAACACTACTTTGGAAACAGGCTTTAAATTACCTAGTGTTATATGTATCCGCGTACAATAAGGCCTTTCATGAAGAAATTTAACATTTGTAACACTTGCAGGGGTATGTGAAAATATATCGATTCTCACTTTGTTATTTTACTTGCTCTGCAAGTAGCAGTGTAAATAGACATTAAGTCTCCTGCAAGGTAATTGGGGAAATTACTAGAAACAAACTTACCTTCTTAGTTTGTACTTCAACGTCATAAGCTGCTTTCTTCAGTTCGAAATCACGTTGAGCTTTGGCTATTTCGGTATCGTTAAGATACCTGGCCGCCATCCGTTGCTCCTCCGCCATCGCTTCCTTGATTTTCGCTTCAGCTTGTGCTTCTGCCTCGCCGATACGAGCGTCACGCTTAACTTCCGCCGTTCGGGCCATACCCAGCGCTTTTAAGTAACCCTGAGTGAAAACATATAAGTAGTAGTCCAACAAAATCTTTCTTTTAACACTGAAAATTATTAATAACGTAATAACTAATACAATATAAGGTGTAATTATGGTTTGTCTTGTCAAGCCTTGGAATATTTTATTGTATATTGTCTTTCTCCTGCAAGCAAGTCTTCAAGCATTTCTTTTCTTTCCAAAATTCTTGCCAATAACTTTTCTTTTATCACACAACTTCTCACCCTATCATTTAAGAGTCGGTCTTAACATACTTATTTATTTACAAATAAAAATACAGAATAACGAGTAGTACAACAGGCGGTCTTATCACTCTGAAAGTGATCTCTTCTAGACAACCTTTGCATAGAGAACTGACGCAAACAATTATATATAATATGATAAAGTAATTAAATGAAGAGTATGAGAAAGGAAAAGTAATTTGTCTAATAAATAACGTAACGTCTTGTGAAATCGTATTACTTAGAAGTAATACGATTTTACAAGACTTTTGAAAGAATAAAGAGATTTAGCACGACGAATTTGGAGAGGTAGAGTTCCACAAACGCACAGTAGTGACATTAAAGGATTTCTTAAAAAAGGAGGAACAGTGCCAGAGGATCGAAGGATCCGATTATGGGTAAGGGAAATATACTGGAAACGGTCTTTTGAATAATGAGGATTGGAAGGAATTAAACAGAATGCTATACAAAGTGGAGAGAAAGTGAGTATTCCTCCGAATAAATCGGGAGCAATATTCGTTTGAGTTTCCAATTGAGCTATTAGCTAAATTTAGGTATGTGATCATATTTGCAGAGCCCAAATATAAATCTAATACATAAATTTTGAATGCACTCAAACTTATTAAGCTGCTCCTCGGTAATGTCAAGTAGCAAGGTCCAAGACATTCAGGAGTGAGATACAACCTTAGAGTTTTAGCCTTGTTACTGTAAGGGATTTGAGTGCAGTCTAGTAGTATAACAGGAAGTAGGGAAGACCAAACAATTCTCCAATTAATCTAAAACTACCTACGAAAATAGCCCCAGTTTTACTCTATATCATTCACTTGCTCTTTTATAGGATAAGGGTCACAAACAAACACACATTACACCTAATCGTAAGTGGTTGCTGTGGCCCATTGACATCTACATCTTTTCTCGATTACAATTAAAAATGCAGATACATTGTAAACCATGAGTCGAAGACTACTACTAATTCACCCAGTCTTAATCTACATTCTTTGACTTTCAAATTTTAAAACTAGATATACATTTTCCAAAAAGAATAAGCAGATTTTAAAGTTACGAGTAGACTACACAACAGTCTGAAACCTCTATAGATGTCAAACCAGTCTGTGTAAGCCGCCTTGATCCTGACACAAGGATTAAGAGATTTTAACACAAGTTTTAGCCCTGAACGCTGAGTGTATTACTTCGCTAAATGGCTATACTTAAAATAAACCGCGCGGCAACACGTCGCGTGTACATTTCCTTAAACTACAGAAACTCAATCACATGTGAATCCCACGGGCCAATAGTCTCAGCAGCAAATGACACAAATATTTAGCCACCTTCCATACTCAGTCTTGCGCCGTTTACTCAGCTCAGCTGCAGCTGAGTCTCTACGTACGTAGCATCCCACACTATTTATATAGACAAGCGCTCTTTGAGAACCATATTTCAGAGAAAAGAGTCTGTGGACATCAATATCGACAGATCACCGCCCCATTACTTCTCCTATGACTACACGCAAGCTTTCCCCGTCAAGTAATGTGCAGAGATTATTTATTTATTTATTTAAAAACTTACACGTAACACCTTAAGCTAAAGGGTACATAGGGCGGATTTAATGCCATGTGGCATTCTCTGCCAGTCAACCCTGGGTGCCAAGGGCAATTGTTGGCAGGTGCGACAATTATACTTAGATTACTTAATGGTAAAGCGTGTAACCAGTGATTAATTCTGAAGTTAAAATAGCTAGAAGGCGGACCTGATTTAAGTAGTTATGGTTACCTTAATTTTTTCTGCACAATCTGTACCAACGAATTAGTCTACTGATTCTGTTAGTTATCTTCTACTGTAACACTCTGGCTGGGGAAAAATTTTTCATGTCTGCCATACCTAAGCCAGATCTATTTTATATATCAGGTCTACTTTTTTATTCAGAATTTTGTTACAAAAATCACCAACTCTTATGGAAGAAAGGAATGCTGGCAATGCAATACTACAATGATTTGTTACACTGATACCTCCAAATCTTAACAGGTAAAAGTAGCTTGAAAGCTGTTGGATTCTAAAGATAAGTTTAGACTTATCTAAGGCTATTTCAAGATTTCCTTTTAAAAAATCCAAGTTTTAAGACTGGCCTTAAACGGAGTGTTTTTTTTTTAGAACTAGATGAATATTAGTGGAAATGAATAATTTACATTTAGTGATATTTATGAGAGTCAATTAGTTTTTTCGGAAAATTTCAAAATTCTGGCAAATATGAGCAAGAGAATTAACTGAGGATATCATCTGCTGTATCTACACCATTCCACCCACTAGATCACCGTGCTAAACACCAAGAGTTTTCGTTTACTTAGTATTTCCTAAAGTTGATATACTTTCAAAGTCAGATATAATAATGAGTTATCAATCTATCTGCAATAATAATAAAGGTTGACATGCTCAACGCAAAATATGTGAAAAGTATATTTATAAATCACTCCTGCAGAATTCATTAGGATTAAGAAACCAGTATTCAATTTTATTTTGCATTTACTACATTCAAATAATGGATATGTCAAAATAAAAAAATAAGACTAATTATCTTTATTAAAAAATTAAGTTTCTAGAAGCAATATTTACCTCCTCATCTCTGATGTCTTTGAGTGTATAAGAAACAACTGTGATTCCCATGTTGATTAGATCGCTGGATGCAACTTCGAAGACCTAAAAAGTAATTTAAGCTTTAAGATATATTCTAAGAGTTCATAATATAAAACAGAATTATGTCACGTCTCTTATATCTTCCCTGTGTGATAGGCTAGATAGTGGAGGTCTCCACAGTAGAACTAAAGTAACTGACATAGTTTTAAGGGTCAGTAAGCTTAAGTGGCCCTAAGCCGGCAGAATAGAATTGAATAATTTTTATTCAACATAAATTACAAGAATAGTTACTGAAAGACATTTAAGTTTTACCAATGGTTTAGAAAAAAACCTCTGTCCTGGTATAAAACAGCAGAAAACACAACAGGACTTTATTTATAAACATTAATTTACAATATTATATTTTATAAATTTAAGTATGAAAACATTTAGAAACAGTATGGTAGTGATCATCTCATTCCCTGGGGTTATTATCAATCATGTACTCTTAAGTAGCATAATAACCCTTATTATACAATTCTGCTTAACAAAAAATTAAATTTTTTGATAGGTCCTGCATATGTTCAGGAACTTTGTTGTAAAAGCGTATACATTGCCCCATGAATTACTAATTGTAAGTTTAACATTTTGTAATTGGTGCAACTAGTTTGTGATTATTATTAGTGCTTGTTCCTAGTATTTACAGGATGTACATCACTATTTTTAATAAAACTGTTTTGTTCTAACATATGTACATTAAATTTTCGTAAATATACTGAGAGGCCAAAGTTAATATGTATATATTTCTTTAAATTTTTCCCTAAAGGCTTTCTTTAGGCCCAGCTTATAAATTGCTAAAGCTTATGATGCTAAGCTAAGCTATTATTGATAAATCTTATGATGAAAGAAAGAAAAAAAGAAACATTTATTTGCAAAGAATACAGGTTGTACCAGATTTAAGTGGTGCATTGTTCAAGCTATATTCTGCCTTTAGTAGACATGCAAATATTTATAATTATGAAAGACAAATAATAATAATGTGTGGTATAATCATACTGCAGCTATACACTATGGTTGTAACATGTATGGGTCGGCTCGACCCGCGGTAGGTCCACACTCTCAAATAATACCAGCGTAAAATAGCAGCTTAATGTTGCTGAGTTTCGTATGGTGAGAATAGAGAACCGGAGACCCTTTTTACTGGAAATGAGGCATTCTATCCCAGTCGTCAGGGGTGACAACGCATCTGTATTTCGATTCTTAAATAACTTATCCTATATTTTAAAAATTGCTCTTATCCGCGCTTCTGCAAAACAAAGATAGTTTCAATGTCATATTATGCTATGGAAATAAGTAAAATAAACTAATCTAGATGTTTTAACACATGTAAGGCCACTACTTTCTTTTACAACATATGCTGCATAACTAAGTTTGCTAGGTAATTTGGATACAAGGAATTGAAGCTTCGCATCAACAGTAATTAGAGAACACATTTAAAAGCATACCTGTATTCACCGATTTAACATTTGATATTGTAAATTTAATGCATTTAGTTTTATTATTGTTCAACAGCAAATTATAAATGTTTAACAAGTTTTAAATTAGAAGGGTTTAATGTACTACCAGATTTAAATAAAGGTGTAACTTAACTATGTTTCATTAAATCAGGAAACACTCCAGATTCATTATTAATATTAACAATAAAAGCAAGTTGGAGTGTGATTGCATCTATTATAGACGCAAAAACTAATAGAAATGCCCTATAAGATGCGGGTTTCTTAGTATAATTGTTTTGAAACATTTTACAATATCTTCTGATGATATTTTATGAAATGTAAATTCTTTTGTACAGACATTTACATTTTGTTTGAGTAATGACTCAGCGACAGTAGGAGTGGAATTCAGTGACTTTGTAATCAAGATCAGAATGTCAGTTAAATATTGCTCAAAAGCAGTTGCTAGCGCCGCATCTTGATCCGATTTTGTTAAATTATTGTAGAAATTCAATTGAAAGATTGAGTTGTGTAGTTTCATCTTGCCAGTTTCACTATTGATTTTACTCCTAGTCATTTTAATTTTATTAGAGGCAGTCTTAATTTTGTTTCTTAAATGTAAAGACTTTGCTGTGGAGCACACTCTTTTAAATATTTTGGAATATTTATAATGTTTTTTACATATTCTCTAGTTATTCTCATTGTAAAGGTCATATAACATTTGTCTACTCTTATGGTAATGGATTATTACTACCACTCTCACTCATTAAATGATTTGCGACTCTTTAAAGTGTTATAGAAATAAATATATTATTAAATTCAAGAGTAATAATTTTTAATGTTTAATAAAAATAGTCAGTATTGTTTTTCTATGGAAGTAACTTCAAGCTTTTTAACTATATTACTTCTAAATCTCTCTATGTGATGTTCATTTATTGGAACAAGCACAAGTTTCCTAACTTTCTGTTGAGCTTACAGAATCTTGAAGTCTTGCAGTGGTATGCTTGTAGGTTTGATAATCGGTGTTATTTTGAGAGGATTTGTGGTCTGTCAAATCTAATGCAATGACAGCGACAACCTCAAACATTATCACAACCCGAATATGATTGTAATTGGTCGAGCAAGTGGATGAGTTTGTATATTCGGAATGTAGATTCAGCAGAGATGGGAGATATGATAAGGATATAGAACGACGAGTGAACACAGGAAAGAAAGTAAATGGGGATCCACACTCTATTGTGAAAAGTTAGAATGTGTCAAAAAAAGGCATGTATGGCAATTCACAATGCTGTATTAATCTCTACTTAAATGCATGGTAGTGAAAGTTGGGAGTGGCAGAAATGCTGTAGAAATGTAGTTACTAAGGAGTATGTTAGGGCTGAATCTGAGTGACAGGGTGAGAAATTGTGTGAAAAAAAAAAGTGTGGTTTGCAAAATGATGCTGTGACCGGGCTTAAGAAAGGAATGTTTCGATGGTTTGGTCATGTAGAAAGTTTTAATGAGGAAAGTGACAAAGCAAATTTGAAAAAGTGACAAAGCAGAAGTGAATGGAAGTCGGATTATATATACTAACTTTAAAACTTAAATGATATTCAGTGCCTGGTGTCACTTTAATTTTATTTATTTAGATATTGATGACTTTTACTTATTACGCAAAAAGTTACACACTTACCTCCTCAAATTTATTTACAACAAAATAATTTGAGGTGGAAATTATCAATTTACAACATATAATTTTTCGAAATTATTTGGGCACAAATTATTATACTACTTGCCAGCAATAAAGTTTGATTGTAAATCCTCATCCTGTAAGCAAAGTGAAAGATGACCCAACATTATATGGAATGACAAACTGGTAGGATATGCAAGTGGTTGTGAGCTAGTGTGGGGCCGCCCTAAACTTTGCTTACCAATATGGATTTGAAGGAGGCCAAAGAGGTGTGTCAGGATTCTGCCAAATGTAAGTCCATAGTTTATTCTTTTCCCCCTGGATGACTGGTGTGAGTGTTAATGTTAATATTTAAGACCTATCTGTTGGGAGAAACCATAGAGGTAATTGAGCAATATGTTTAGGTCATCCAGGGATCTTTTCATAAGGACTTTATTTTGTGTTAAATCCTGTTATATTTAATACATGCATTTGAGATAAAAGTAAGGAAAAGTGAGACCATTTTAGCATAATAAATACAAGACTATACATTCTACTAGTTAATATAAACGTATCATAACCTTTTTGGAAAATATTTTTCGGTCTTTGTATATTTCCTCAACAGTCATTGATCCCATAATTGCACGCTGATGACCTTCTAGGGTCACGAGGGCAATATGTTGGATTTCTTGTTCTGATTTGCCTAGAAATTGCTCACATGCTGACAGAAGCATTTCAGCATTCTGACCTTGAATCTTCACCTGTAATGTAACAACAAATTTTAAATAATATATTTATAGGATTTCTAAATTCTAAATTTTAAATATATAACATACATTGCTGTAATGTTAATTTTATATCATATTATTCATAAAGCAGATACATTAGTAAATAACTAAGAATTTTTTTCAACATGTACCTGTGCTATACCCGTTACTGAAATAGGAACACCCTGACTTGTGTAGACAGTTGGTGATTCTACCTGAAGTGTCATTGTGTTAAGTGATATTTTTTGGACACGTTGTATTGCTGGCCAGACAAATGCACGCCCACCCGGAACAAGAAGTGGCTTAGAGTAGCAGCATCCTATAAAAATATTAAAAAATAAAAGCTAACATTTAGTAACAATATTTTATCATCATGATAAACAGTCAAAACTGGATATGAGCATTTACAATAAGGCCTGATTACCAAACCAAAATTATCCAGATTTATGTTACATATTTTAATAGGCTCTCTTAATACAGGCTATTTGTTAAAGGAGAAAGATTAGTATTTTTGTAATGTATCTCATGTAAGATTTTTTTTTTTTATCAAGTTAAAGTTTTTATATTTTGAAATAAATATCATCAATTTGGAGACAACATAGTAAATATGACAAATCAGCCAACTTATGGAAACCGGTGCTGCTGAGAAATATCTAAAAAACTACCATGACTTATGGCTTCAAATAGGTAAAGAAAACATTGAATACTACATAGTAAGGACATACAGGGAAATACATTTTTCCACTAGTACTCGATACTCCTACAAGGCACCCAAGCAAGGTATGATAGACTTTTTGTTAGATTATATAAAAAAAAAAGTTGCAAAAAATATGAGAAAATTAAAAGTAAGAATTACTATGACAATTATAAAACATTATTTTAATTATAATTGCAAGAAATGTTACATTAAAAATAAAATAGGCGCGGCAATTAGTGAAATTATTGTAGCCATAAGGAAATAATAATAAGTAATAAATTCGCTGGGCTAATGAATAACCTTGTTGTATTTTATAATCGCTGCAGATAACTAAATACTAATTACTTATGCAATAAATCATCGCCAACTTTTAAATATGGAAAAAGAGATACGTAAATTTTAAGTAATGTACACTACGCAAAACTATTTGAGGCGGTATTTCAAATAACTTACCCGAAACAACGAGGGCCTCATTCGGACCACATGTTACAAAACCCCAAGCCATTTTTAGTTATTCTTAAAAAACAAGACGCTTGTAAATAAAGCTTGAAAATGAAATAAAACTATAAAACACTTGAACCAAAACACTAAGTCGGCCACAGCCACAGATAAATAAATATTAATTTTATATTATTAACTAGCTTTAAGGCTCTGGGTTCTAGTCCTTCTGAGCCATATACATTATATTATACACATTACACAGACTATATAGTATGTACCAAATCGATTGAGAAAAATGGACAATGACCACAGATATGAGCCGAGTATCAAAAGGCGTAACTTACAAAATCTCAATTTAGATGTGATAACAATATTTAAATATTGATATTATTCACACTTCTATCAGTCATAAGTCACCACATATGTTTTTTTTTGTTTCTAAAATAATATTGTCTGTGGTTCCTATAAACATCGTAAAATCTAAAAACGGTACATCGCGAAAAATGTGTTATATTTTATATTTTAAGTTTCATATTAAAAAAAACATTTGAAGCAATATAATCACTATATTGAGCTTTTGCAAATTCATCCCTTTAAATTTTTTTTTATGGAAGAGAGGGGAAACGAGCATGCGGCTCATCTGATGTTAAGTGATTACCGCCGCCTATGATCAACCGCAACACCAGGAGAATTGCAGGTGCATTCCCTCCCCCTTGGACTCTACTACCTCCGCCCATCTAGGAGTTAGGTAGACCAGAAGATCAGCATCTGATCGACCACGACGAAAACCGTATTGGCGATCACTAATCAGCTGGTGATCCTCAAGGTACCTCATGAGCTGACAGTTTACAATAGACTCCATTGTTTTGGAGAACAAGGAGGTGATGGCGATAGGCCGGTAGTTGGACGGGTCTGAGCGGTCGCCTTTTTTAGGGATCGGGTGGACGAAAGCCGTCTTCCATGATTTTGGGACTACACCTAGGGAGTAGGAGGACCGGAGAAGACGCGTTAAAATTGGGGGGATTCCGTTAGGCCCACTCGACTTGTGGATGTCCAGGGAGAGGAGTGCTTTGCGAACCGATCACTGTGTGAACTATATTTCTGGCATGGAGCACTCACACCGCGGGATGGTCGGCGGCGTACTCCCCCCGTCATCTAGAGTCGAATTGGACGCAAAGAAAGAGCCTAGCACATCGGCTTTCTCTTTTGCGGTATGGGCCAGTGAGTCGTGCTCCCCGTGCAGAGATGAAAGAGATGGCTGACAGAAATTTCCCTTGACAGCCTTGGCAAAAGACCAGAATGCACGGGTTTCAGAAGGAAGGTAAACTAGATTATCGCCAATTCTGCCGGCGTAATGGGCGTTGAAGTCGCCGAGGATCATGATCTCTGCGGAGGGGATCTGCTGTAGCAACGAATCTGTAGCCATTTGGACGTGGTCGAAGAGTCGGTCTGTTTCGGCATTACCGCTATGTGACCTATAAAGGCACCCGTAGACACGCAGATGGTCGTCGCTGTCTACGCGTAACCAAAGGATGGACAGGTCCGAACCTTCAAGACTGCCGAGGCGTCGAGAACAGATGTCCTCTCTGACGAGTTTGCGTTTAGCAAACTCCACCTTGAGGCACAAAGGAGTGTTCCAGTTTGTACCCCGCGTAGGAGAGATACGAGGCATCAGCCGGAGAGGACACCTGCGTCTCGGTCAGAAAGAGCAGAGCCAGCCTCGCCGTCCCGAGATAGTAGTGTACGGCGTTTAGGTTAGAGTGAAGTCCCCTGATATTGCAGAAATTCGCGGATAGCGTGGCAGGGTTAACCACCTTGGTCTTGTTGCTCCTTTTGCCCCGAGCAGTTGTAGTCTTAAACGGAATTTTGCCCCCCCCCCCCCAGAATATCTGGGACAGCCTGAGCACCGACGCTCAGGAGTGGAGTAACTTGGTTGTGGATGCTCAGCGATGGATTCTCCAGGGGTGCTGGTACCCTACGGGGGTAGTTTGATATTTAATTTCGCTACCATGTTGATTGATGGGGGGGGGATTTGGGCCCCCGGCCACCGGCACTCACCAGGCGTAACGCGGAAGCAGAGCTTCCACTTCACGCCAGTATTCTGTAAGGTCATTTTACCACCCCGGCCCATACGTTCAACAGCAAAGCTGCCGCGTGGCTCTACCACTGTGAAATAAAATAAACTAAACGCGCGTTACGTCAGTTCGTTCTAAAAGAAACGGCAGCCAGAGATGCGTTACTTTTTTTGAGCCGGTCGGTTGACAATAAAGTTTTATATTTTGAATAAGTACGTACTTATTCGGTGTAGTTATCACTCGAATCTTTATATGTGTTATAAATTAACGTTTTTTTATTGTTAAATAAATAAATTACTTTATAACAATAGATGATTTTCCTTCTACAGCGATCTTTTACATAACTTTTTAATAATAGTTAATAAATATATATTATATCAATCATTATAAAAAATAAAATAAAAAAAAATCATTATAAATAAAGAAAGTACTACATATAAAAAAGTGCCTATATTTTGAAGGTTTGTAGCCCCTGCTTAAACGACCGAAAGGTCATGGTTCCAATCGATGGCATATAAGTTAATATAAAAGGCTTCCCACAAACTATTATGATACTTAGAATATGCTAGAGAACTCTCTTCTGATAAGGACATATATAATACATATGTGCTACCACTGACCTCTACGGTGGACTGGTATACCCTACAAAATGATTTTACCGATTTCAAGCACTGCCATTTTTCCTACCAGGAATTAATTAAGTACCAGGTTTGATATTAGTTATATAATAAGAATTATTTTTAGTGATTATGAGATTGTGCGTAATTTGTAAAACTGGTTGGTTACCAATAGGAAAGTGGGATAACATTCCAAAAGTAAGAGAATTTACAATTAATATTAAAAAATATTAAACTATTTGATTACATAGGTACTCGTACTCAAAAATTTGTTACTAATCTCAATATTATTGTAATTACCAACATTTGTGGCTTTATGTTACTGAGTTTTGATAAACAATAAAATTCAATAGGGTTGTCGAGTTCCTTGTCTATAATACTTGTCGATGTTCTTTTCTACCATATCTGTTAACAAACAAAGTCACCGAAAACAGATAATTATCAAATGTTACTTGTTGTTATTGATTCAAATAATAATACCCAATATTCGCTAATCTACGTTTGTATTGGAAAAACGCAAAACAAGTTATCCGAGAGTAAGACCAAAGTGTAAAATTATTCAAGGGCTTGCTACTGGGTTCGCTACTTATTACACGGTTAAATTCTTTAACACATTGTTGTTCCCAGTGGCGTAGCTACCTAGGGGCTAGGCGGGGCAGTGCCCCGGGGCCCTCAAACTCAGGGGGCCCTCGAATCTTTACCAGAAAATCTCGAACAAACAGAACTTTAAAAAAATTCATCTATTTTCAAAATAAATATGACATGTTGCAACCCAACTTTCATCATGGCAACTCAGTTGAGAGAAATTCGAAAGTTATACCTAGGAAATTCACCTAAATTCTTTCTGTGAGTTGGTAGTGTTGTCAACTTGACGGATAGCGATATGTGCGTTTTATTGTGAATTCGAGTCAAGATTTCTTTTTGGGAACGGTTAAAAAATTAATTCAGTATCAGGAGTAAGTAAGCGAATGTCAATAAACTTTTTGGTATCGGTAAATATAGTGATTCAATTTTATTTGATTTTAGTACTACTCATATTGATGTTCGTTATTGATGTCCAATAAATCATGTCAAATCTATAGATTTCGGCTTATCGTTGTTTAACGCGAAATGTCGTGAAATAAGTGCATTAATTCAGGCCCCCGCTCGAGGACATCGTTCTTAGTCTACACGTTTAAATGTGGTAACACTAGCTAGCGGCGATAAAATATTCCCCAACGACGTCTTGTAGCGTTTCTTTTCGTTTCTCCTTCCTTTTTTGAAAATATTTTTAATTATTATATATATATAAAATATTATAAATATTTATTTTTATTTTGTTTAAATTAATAGCAGTGGTCTTATTTTTGTACAGCTTGGGGCACATTTTAGCCATCTCATTTGGTGATAAATGATACCGTTAGCAGTTGTGTGGAAATACAGATTTTTTCCGCAACGTTGCAAGATTTGTATAACTTGACATAACATAACGGAAACAGCATCAAACGTTGGGATCTACCACTCTAAAAAATCTAAATTCGACTAGATGGTCCAGTATACGATATCTGCAATAAAACTTCGTTTTTTTTTTTATATTATCAAATCATTATCAAATATAATTCTAAAGAGTCCTAATAAAGAGGAGCGTAGTGAAGCAGAGAGGATTTAAAAAAATGCTAAATTTCATGTTCGTGTTGCTTTGCGAATTCGTGCAAAGTGTATTGAATGACATTAATTATGCATCCAAAACTTTACAAAAATGCGACATCAATTTGGGTGAGGCAAGCAAAGCATTAGCAGACACCAAAGCAAAGTTGCAAATTTATAGAAATGATTTCGAATTATTTAAGTGCAAAGGCAGTGAAACTGCAAGAAAATATGGTACAGATACACATTTTCAAGAAAAAAATTCAAAGGAACGTTGAATAACATTTTGATGAATTAGCTGCTGATCCGCCGCTTTCCAAACAGAGAAGAAATATTTAAAATTGAGATTTTCTATAATGTACTAGACACATTCATAGCTCAATTAAATAAACGTTTTACTCATATGAGTGCAGTCCGTCAAATATTCCATTCTTAACACCAACATTTTTATTGCATGTTGATGAAGCAACTTTATTACAAAAGTGTGATGAATTCCAAAGAAAATATTCAGATATAATAGACCCTAGCTTTTTACTTCAATTTATTAATATTTACCACCTATTTTACTTCAATTAACTCAAGCATGAACTGTTCACCAATTATGTAAGGAAATAATGAGCAAATAAGGAGTGCTAGAATGCGACCTAACGGAAATATTTACAGCAAAGTTATTATTCTTTACAATTCCTGTCGCTTCTGCAGCAGGTGAAAGGTCATTTAGCAAATTAAAAATAATAAAAAAATTG